CTGTTGGGTTACTAGGGGTAATAGTGAGTGGTGTCACTCCAATTTCTACCCCTTGATTCCTGGCCTTGTGAATCTTGGCTATGGGAGAAAGAGTACCAGATATTGGATGCTGATCCCAGAGCATATACAGCCTTCTGCAGAACCATGCCCCAGCCCTGTCAGATACTGCCATCTAGCTGGCATTGTAACCAAGTCTTCAAAACATCATTCCATTGTTCTGTCAAGCCAGCAGCTTCAGAATGGTGGGGAACTTGGTAAGACCAGTGAATTCCATGAGGATGGGCCCACTGCTGCACTTCATTTACTATGGCATGAGTTCCTTGATCAGAAGCAATGCTGTGGAGAATACCATGATAATGGATAAGGCATTCTGTAAGTCCATTGATAGTTTTGGCAGAAGCATTATGTGCGGTAAAGGCAAATCTGTATCCAGAGTGTCTGTTCCAATAAGAAAAAAATGCTACCGTTTCCATGATGGAAACATCCAATGTAATCAACCTGCCATCAGAGAATGGCACCACATTGAGGATTCAGTGTTGGTCTCTGCTGCTGGCTGACTGAGCATTCAGCAGTGGCTATAACTAGGCTGGCCTTAATGACTGGAAACCCATGTTGCTGAACCATGCATAATCACCACTTTGTTCAAGAGCTCATTGGATGATGACAGGGATGGCTGAGGAAAGAAACTGACTGTGTCCACAGACTGGGTCATCCTATCCACTTTATTAAAATCCTCTGCTGAGCATTTAGCATGGGACACAAATAGCTTCACTTTTACCCTTCAGAGAGGTCTGTCCATCTTTCTGAGATTTCCTTGGCATGTTCCCTTGGCATTTTCCAATCATGTTCCCTTCCTACCATCCAGCCAAACCACTGACCACAGCCTGTGAATTGCTATGTAATTGCACATCTGGCCATTTCTTCTTCCAAGCAAAAAAATAAAATAAAAATAAAGATAACAACCAGGTGCACTGCTCAAAGCTCTGCCCAATAGGATTACTTGTGCCTTCAGGGCACCCTTGGCCTAATCACTTATACATCACTTTATGGGAGTGCTGCTATGTACATCTAACTTAATGGCTTGTTGGGTCAGATTACACCCAGTTCATGATGGGCAGCTCAGGTCATGTGGTAACTTGGTGGCCAATGGTTTAGTGTTTAATCTCTAAGGCCCAGTAGCAGGCCAAAATTTGTTTCTCAGAAGGAGAGTAACTACAAAGAACGACAGTGCTTTGCTTCAAAATTCTAAGGGCCTGTGCTGTGACCCACCTTTGGGTCCTGCCAAAGGCTCTAGACAGCATCACTATCTGCCTCTGATACCTCAAACATCATTGGATCTACTAGTCCTTATGGCCCAAGTGGCAAAGTGCTTGCACAACAATTTGGACCCGTTGCAGAGTCACAGAGGCTTCTCTTGTTCTGGACCTTACTCAAAATCTGCAGCTTTTCATGTCAATTGATAAGTGGGCCAAAGTAACACACCCAAATGAGGAATATGTTGCTCCAAAATCCAAAGGTTCATGAGGCTTTGTGACTCTTTCTTACTTGTAGGAGGAGCCAGAATACAATGACTTATCCTTCACTATTTTTGAGAAGAGAGAGCGCATGCACAAGCACGTGGGTGGAGAAGCAGAGAGAGAGGGAAACAGAGAATTCCAATAGCTGTCAACCCAGAGCCTTATGAACCGTGAAATCCTGACCTGAGCCAAAATCAAGAGTCAGAGGGTTAACTAACTGAGCCACCCAGACTCCCCTATCCTTCACTTTAAAAGGGATATCATGACATGTCCCACACCACTGGATCCCTAGAAATGTCACTGAGGTTGTAGAACGCTTCTAAGTTCTTGTTGGATTTATTTCCCAACCCCGACATACAGATGTCTTACCAGTAAATCTAGAGTAGTTGCCAATTCTTGCTCACTAGGTCCTATAGGCATAATGTCATCAAATGTAATTGATCAGTGTAACACCTTGTGTAAGGAAAAGATAATTAAGATCCCTGTGAACTAAATTATCATCCCTGTAAACTAAATTATAGAGCTGGAGAGCTGATGTACTGCTGAGGTAGGACATTGAAGATATATTGCTTGTTCTTGCCAACTGAAAACAGCTGCTTCTGGTAGTCTTTATTAACAGGGATGGGGGGGGGGAATTGTCAGTAATTGCATAGCAGGTACCAGGGGATGCGTTAATTTGCTCAAGCAATGAAACCACATCTGCCGGAATAGCTACAATTGGAGTTACCACCTGATTAAGCTTATGATAATCCACAGTCATTCTCCAAGATCCGTCCTCTGCAGAGGCCAAATAGGCAAGTTGAATGGCGATACGGTGGGAATCACCACCCCTGAATCTTTAAAGTTCTTAATGGTGGCACTAATCTCTGCAATCCCTCCAAGCATGTAATATTGCTTTTGGTTTATTATTTTTTTTTTAGTAATTTCTACTTGTCCTTTCCCATTATATTAGCCCTCACTCAACAGGCCAGAGAGACAGTTGCTGAGTATACCTATTCCAATTATCCATTACAGAATTGGGGGAAAAACACACGATGGGTTCATGGGTTCAGGCACCCATTGGGTCTGCTATGAGATGGACCTTAGCTAAAACTCCATTGCTCACCTGACCTCTATAAGCCCCTACTCTGATTGGTAGACCAATGAGGTTTGGGGTCTCCTGGAATTTGTGTCAGCTCAAAACCAGTGTCCAAGGTCTGATTATTTCCTTTTCCTTACTATCGAATCACCTGGTAAAGGCTGTGGGTTCCTTTGGGAAGGCATGGGGGAAAGTTATCAGCATACATTTCTAGCAGTGTGACAAGTGTTTTTCATTCAAGGGGTTCTGTGTCTGTATATGCAAGGGTCAAGTCTGAGAATTGACTGAAGGGCCATAACTGCTTTTATGTTTTTGTTCACTTCACCTAGAACTCTCACTTATACAGATTAAGAACTTAGTAGACTTCCCACCTATTTCACTTCCACCAAAGAATACCAACCATACTCCGAGTTACTCTATAACAGAGATTAAAAAAAAAAAATCTTTCATGATCATTTTGCATTCATCACAATAAATTACTTCACATTTTTAAAACTTATTTTACTTTTTTAATTAAAAAATTTTATGTTTATTTTTGAGAGAGAGAGAGTGCAAGCAGGGGTGGGGCAGAGAGAGAAGGAGACGCAGAAGCAGGTTCCAGGCTCTGTGCTGTCACGGGGCTCAAACTCACCAACCGTGATATCATGACCTGAGCGGAAGTCAGATGTTTAACTGACTGAGCCATTCAGATGCCCCTTAAAATTTATTTTAGAGAGAGCGAGCGCGGGGGAGAGGAGCAGAGAGAGACAGAGGGAGAATCTTAAGCAGGCTCCACGCTCGGCACAGAGCCCCATCAGGTTGCAATCCCATGACCCTGGGATCATGACCTGTGCCAAAATCAAGAGTCCGAGGCTCAAGCCACTGAGTCACCCAGGTGCCTCAAATTATTTCATATTTTTAAAATCATGTTTTAAGTTATAGTTAGGTTTTTTTTTTTAATTTCCCTTGGAAATTTAATTTTCAAGTTAAAACCAATGCTCCAGGAAACTTAATTATCATTATCTTTCTAGAGATAAGTAAAGAGGTATAGAGTGAGTATCACCACATACTCAATTTCACACACTCCAGAATACTGCAACGTCTCATATAGTTACTACATTCAGATAATAACCACTCCATCTTCCATCCAGATTTCTAACTTGCGTAAGTTGCATCAAAACACACAAAAACAAATTAACCAAATCCCTCACGAGTCACACTCAGTTAAATCTCACATATATCAACCTCAAAGTTACAACGTTGTAATCACCTGCCCTTTCACTGTCATAGAATTCATCCGAGACTTGGGTACAGTCACACATCACTTTCACATACTTTGTATATTTCACTCAACACCTTGGACAATATCAAGTGCAAACCATCTCATACACGTAACCAAGAATCAGACTCAGAAACAATCACTTGTCACAGATACATTTCCTCACATCACAGTTTGAGATGGGGTTTCTGGACTTTCAACAAGGTTAGAAATCTTTAGATCTGTCCCTTCTGGCAGGTAATCTGTACTAGCTTCCACCCCTCTCAGTCAATTCTGGTATCTCACACACACTTAGACGTCACATGTCGCTGCATGCCTCTCCCACGCATATATGCAAGGCTCAGTACGCGCTCGCCCCGCCCCTCTGCGTCCCCCGGGTCTCGGGCAGGTCCAGCTTCCTTCCTTCTCGCGACACTCACTACAGTCAACCGCTCCTGCTAGTATGGTAGTAGACTCAACACAAACAGCCTCCCACAGAATGTTACAAGGTCACTGGTCGCACAGCCTCGTCGCCCGCAAGCGTGCGTAATCAATCATACCGTCTCAAATGGCCCCTCACGCATAAGCCACGTCATATTACACCACCTCATAATCACTGAACGTGGCCGTGTTCACCCCGTGAACTCACACGGGTATACAGCACGACCGCTATTTCAAACGGCCTCAAAAACGTTTCACAAACGAGTTTCCTCGCGTATGACAACTCAGTCGGTGTAACGTACATCCTCTTCCTCTTGTGCCCACTCACCCTCGGGCACTCGCACCTTCGGACTCAGACAACATATCTCGCACCGCCACCTTACAGATTTAAGCCGGATCCCTCCGCACCAGACAACAACAATCCTCTCAAACCACAGCACGTGCGCGTCCACGTTGAGGGGGTAGGGACAGCCACGGTGCCAGGCCTGAAATCCGCCCTTAGAGGAATCCGAGGTCCAGAATTCAGACCCCAAATTCGGGTCTGAGCCTTGGAAACGGGGAGGTTGTGACATCACTCGAGGCCCGAACGAAGCTGCGCAGGTGCATCCCGAAGCCTGGAAGATTTACCTGGTTCAGTTCCGGGGGGTTTTCCCTTTCGGACTACGTTTCCCAGAAGACACTGTGGTCCAACGCTACTTCCGGTGGGAAAGTCGGCCGCAGAGGGCGGTGAGGCAGTGGTGTGTGCCGGGCGAGGCGTCCGGCCTCGCCTGGAATGTGAATCAGAATTTGGACTAGAACCTTTCCTGAGGATGCTGAAGGTAAGGAATCCTGGAGCTCGAGGGCTTGGTAAGAGGAGTGTCTGGAGTGTTAGGCCTCTTAAGTGTGGGAGCTGCCCTAGGGTGGATAGATTGGGTTGTTGTGAGTGTGTGAAGGAAACTATAGAGTTTAAGTGTATAAGTAAATTTGGCTGTTTGTTGTGACAGCGACTGGATTCGGGATCGTCTTTTGTGACAGTGTAATTGTCTGCACGACCTTTTGTGTGAATGGGGTTTGTATGTGATTGTGACTGTGATTGCGGGTGGTTATTTGTGTAAGCCCCATATACTTGCATAAAAGAGAAAAGCACAGTTCCACAAATCATTACACCCAGACTCACCTAATCAGTCAGTTAGGGAGACATTCCAGTAGTCACTTGTAGATTCATACAACACAAGGCAAAATCACATTATCCAACCCACGTTTATCATCACACATCCTTGGACAAAGCCACAAGTATGGTAAAACAAAACAAAATAACCCCTCCCCAACCACAAACTGTCCTCATACCCACTTAGCCCTTATCCCCAACAATTATCTGAAGAACTCATACACATCACCAAGTATCATAGAAACATAGTTACCATGGCCACAGACAATGTCTACTCCACATCACCTCAAGGTCACACAATTTTTAAGCTTCAAGAAAGGCTTGGTTGGGGGCTCAGGCCGCAGAGTATGCAACTCTTGATCTCTGGGTTGTGAGTTCCAGCCCCACGTTGGGTGTGGAGATTATTTGGGAAAGGCCTGGTGTCTCCTAGTTCTCCACTCTCTACCTCACTACTTCTGCCATTCACCTTAAAAACACCTAGAGTAGGAGGAAATAATGGCACTATTGCACATCCAAAATCAGTGTCTAAGATTATTTATTATGTACTGTTTCTTATCTGAAATGTTCATATTAACTTTAAACATTTTTTATTATACTACTTCATTTAAACTAAAGTTGTCTGTAATTCTTCAACCACTCTGAACACCTTATTACAAATGCTTTCACCTTCCTTATATGCATACATATATGCATATATATATATATTTGTGCATATATGTATGTATTTTCCCGCCAAAGATTAGACTACAATACACATTGTTTTGTAATTCTTTATTATAAGATATTTAGGTCTTTTTGTCTGTACTCAGGAATAAATTTCAGAAGATTTTCCAGGATGCTTCCAGGTGTGATTTTTTTTTTAAGAGGTTTATTTTTTATTTTTTAAGTTTATTTTGAGAGAGTGAGTGGGGGGCGGGGGGGAGACGGGAGAGAGAAAGAATCTCAAGCAGGCTCCTCACAGGCAGCAGGGAACCCAGTGAAGGGCTGGAGCTCACGAACCCATGATATCATGACCTGAGCTGAAACCAAGAGTGGGACGCTTAACTGACTAAGCCACTCAGGTGCCCCCAGGTGTGATTTTTTTAATTTCACCAGTACTTCAAACTGAAGTCTCAAGTATTTATTTTGTTCTGGATATTTTTGTTCTATTTATTTTTTCTTTTCCATCTGTGTACCATCAGTCTCTATTTTTGAAATTCTTGTGAGACATTTGTTGGAACATTAAAAAAAAATTTTTTTTAATATTTATTTTTGAGAGAGAGAGCATGAGTGGAGGACGGGCAAAGAGAGAGGGAGACCCAGAATCTGAAGCAGGCTCCAGGCTCTGAGCTGTCAGCACAGAGCCTGTCACAGGGCTGGAACTCACAAACTGTGAGATCATGACCTAAACCAAAGTCGGGCACTTAGCTGACTGAGCCACCCAGGCACCCCTCGTTGGATCGTTTTGATCCAAGTGATCATTGGATCATTTTCTATCCCTGATCTTTTTGTAATGTCTATTTCCTTTACCTTTTCCCTTTTATTTCAGTGAAGATCTTGTCAGGATAAGTCTGAACATGTTGGTTGGGTCCATTTTATCATAGGGTTTGGACACTGGTCTGACTCTCTAAATCTTTCTTGCTAAAAAACCTGGCTCCAGTCTTTCTTGAATCCATCCTGTTATACCTGGCTTCCCTCCTTGTTTTGAGTAAGGTTGGGATTTGTCCAATTTCTCTCTAACAGTTTATGTATGTGTGTATGGGGACTGGGCATAGTAGACATGTAGGGGGAAGAAAAATGTCATTCTACATTAGCACTTTGGGCGCTAAGAGGCAAGACCATCTGATGTCTTTTTTTTTAAACCCCTTTCATCCAGCAATACTTTCTTTGGACTGTGAGTTTCTTCTAAAGTGGAACTAAGAAGAGGACTAATAAATACATTGAATTCTAAAAAAAGCCATGGCCCATGTAAGTTGGTGGGTTTTTTGTTCCTAATTGATACAGTCTTTTTTTATATATATAGTCATAGGAGTATTAGCATTCTTTATCCTGATATTGTTGCCCAATTGATTATCATACAGTAGCTGACTAGTGAGTAAGTGTTGGTTTCAAAAATTCAAAGTCTTCCTTTTTTGCTCCTCTTCTTTCTAACCAGTGTTCTTATACTCATTCAGTAAGTCATTTTTCATTTCCCATATGCTCAGCCTTCTGCCAGGGGAAGGAGAGAACAAAAATACTGTTCTTTTGAGGGAAATATGTTTCTCTTGTGAGAAATATGTTTCTCTTGTTTGATGAGGTGATTTAATAATTATTTATTGAGTACCTGCTATGTGACAGGCACTCTTCTAGGTAACTATGAATAAATCAGTGGTGGGGGGGGGTGGGTGGGCAGGGGAAAAAGACACCTACAAATTGTCCCTTATGAAACTTAACTTGTAGTGAGAGAGAGAAAAAATAACTAATTTATATAACACCGACTTAAGATTTAAGGCACACAGGTACACACACACACACACACACACACACACACACACACACACACAGTGTGTATATGTAAAGAGCAAAATAATTATAAGATAAAACAAAGACCAAAAAACAAATATATGTCCTATCAGTAAATATACATGATTTTTAACTCACCTATTAAAAGAAAAAGTCCTTTAGATTGAGTCTCAAAAACTCAACTCTCTGCATTAGACACTTAAGTGATTCAGAAAATTTAATGAAAGGATGGATAAAGTATACCACACAAACGGAAACCAAAAACAGACAAAAATTCAGGCTATATCCCACCATTAAACATGGCAAAGAAGGGCACTATGTAATTCTAAGGTATACATTTCAAAATGAAGACAAAATAGTTATAAATGCACATGTATCAAATAGTATACCATCAAATTTCCTTGAGCAAATAGGAAAGCAGATAGAAACAAGTGGTAGAGGATACTAATTAACGCTTTCAGTCAAAGTCAGGCCAAGTGAACACATTTTGTAAGGATGAAATACTCCATCAAATCTACCTTTTTGATATATATTCAATTCTGTATCCTAGTAATGATGAATATACATTCTTTTCAAGTCTCCATAGACAATTCAGAAAAAATGATAAAATATTAGGCCACACTGAAGTCCAAATAAGTAGAAATGATAAACCATGTTCTCTGAACACAAATGCAGCTAAGATAACAACAAAATCAGAAAAACAAAGTTACTCTTAGCAACAATTTGTAAAATCCATCTTAATAACTCCTGGATCAAAGAAGAAATATAATCTAAAAGCAAAGGATCTCTAGTACTCAATGATAGTACTATATTTTGGAACCCATGGGATTTAGTTTAAGTAAGACTCTAAGGGAAAAGTTACAGCTTTAAGTCCTTCTAACAAAAATAATGAAAATATTTAAGTTGAAAGGAAGTAGTAGGAAATATGGAGGGGATTTATAAAAATAAAAATTATATGTGTTAGAAAACAGGAAAAACATTATTAATAAGATAATATGACAAATCTCAAATTAGGAAAGAAAAAGAAAGCACAATATAAAAATTTTAAAGGGAAAATCCACAGAAGTGAAGGATCTTGAAAAAATACCTTATTGGATTATTTGCAAATGCGTCCATGTATATTTTCAGCTACTCTCACTTCTTGAGATCTGAATTTCTGTTTGATATAATTTCTTTTTGTTTTTAATTTTAAATTTTATTATTTTTTTAACATACATTCATTTTTTGAGAGACAGAGACAGTGCAAGCCAAAGAGGGACAGAGAGGGAGACAAAGAAAATGAAGCAGTGAGAGAGAGCTGTCAGCACAGAACCTGATTTGGGGCTCAAACCCACAAACTGTAAGATCATGACCTGAGCCAAAGTCGGGTGCTTAACCGACTAAGCCACCTAGGCGCTCCTATATCATTTCTTTTTAGCTGAAAGATCTTCCTTCAGCATTTCCTATAGTTTGTGTTTTCTGATGATAAATACTCTCAACGTCCTTTATGTGAAAATGTCTTTATTCTACGTTAATTTATAAAATAAGTCAAGAAATGCATCCTCTTCTGTTTTCTGGAAGAATTTTTTAAATGGTGTTATTTCTTCCTTGATTGTCTGATAGACTTCAACAACAAATGCACCTGTGGTAGGCAGAATAATGACCCCCAGTATTATCTACATGCTAATCCTGGAACCTGTGAATATGGTACCTTATCTGGCAAAAGGGAATTTGCAGATGTGATTAAATTAATGATTTTGAGATGGGGACATTATTTTGGATTATCTGAAGAATCAGGGTCAGAGGGAGATGTGAGAATGGAATATGCATACTCCTGGCTTTGAAGATGGAGGAAGGGGTCCATGACCTACCTAAGTGGCCTCCAGAAACTTGGCAAGGCAAGGAAAAGGCAAGGAAATAGACTCTTTCCTAGAGTCATCAGAAAGGTACACAGCCCTGCTGGCACCTTGAGTTAGTCTACTGAAACCCTTGTTGGACCTCTAACATACAGACTGTAAGATGATAAATGTGTTGCTTTAAGCTACTGTATTTGTTGTAGCAGCAGTAGAAAGCAAATACAATGGAGTTTTCTTCATGGAGAGACTTTAATTTCTTTAATTGACAGGGCTTTTGGGGATTTTATTTCTTCTTGAATCAAGTTGGTAATTTATCTTGTAAGGAATTAGTTTATTTCCATTTTGATGTCAAATTTATTAGCATAAAGCTGTTTATAATATTTTCTTATTATCCTTTTCATGCCTGTCAGATATTGATAATTCATGTCTATTTTTCTTGGTCAATATACAAGCAATTTATCAATTTTATTGATCTTTTCAAAGAACTAGCTTTTAGTTTTATTGAGTTTTCTCTCCAGTTTACCATTGGTTAGATTGCTATTTCATTGATTACTGATCTTATTCTTTCCTTCTTTCTGCATACTTTGTGCTTAATTTTCTCTTCCTTTCTGAGTTCATATTTCTGTTTTTTCTTTTAGCGATGGGCCACTTAGAAGAGTCTTCTTTAACTTCCAAATTTTGGGGGACTTTTTAGATCTTTCTGAATTCTGAATTCAGGTCTTTCTGAATTTCTTTCTTAATTCATTTAATTCATGATTTACTTCTGTTGTGGTCAGAGAACATACTCTGGAACATTGATCCTTTTAAATTTATTGAAACTTGTTTTATGGTCCAAAATGTGTACTGTCTTGGTCAATGCTCAATGTGCATTTGAGAAAAAAAAGGGGTGTTATACTATTGTTAGATAGCGTGTTTATCAATGAAATCAAGTGTTCTATGTTTCTGATCTTTTGGTCCCTTGGTCTATCAATTACTGAGAGAGGACTGCTAAAATCTACAAATAAAGCTGCATATTTATCTGTTACAGTTCTGTCAGTTTTGCTTTATGTGTTTTGAAATTCTGTTAGGTGCGTGCATATTTAGGATTGCTATGTCCTCTTTTTTTTGTTTGTATTTTATTTATTAAAAATTTTTTTTAATGTTTATTTTATTTTTGAGAGAGAGAGAGAGAGACAGAGTGTGACTGGGGGAAGGGCAGAGAGAGGAGACACAGAATCTGAAGCAGGCTTCAGGCTCTGAGGTGTCAGCACAAAGCCTAATGCAGGGCTCAATCTCACGAACTGTGAGATCATGACCTGAGCCGAAGTCAGCACTTAACCGACTGAGCCACCGAGGCGCCCCTGTTTATTTATTTATTTTTAAGTGATCTCTACACCCAACATGGGGCTCAAACTCACAACCCTGAGATATGAGTTGCATGTTCTTCCAACTGAACCAGCCAAGTGCCCCAAGATTTCTATGTCCTTTTGATGAATTGACCCCTTTATTATGAAATGTTCCTTTTGGTAATACTCTTTTTCTTGCATTCTGTTCTCTTTATTAATATAACTGCTTCAGGTTTCTTTTATTGTTACATCATGGCATATCTTTTCCCTATCCTTTCATTTTAACTGATTTTAAGTGTATCTCATATAACAGCACATAGTGCAGTTCTACTTTTTTATTTAGTCTGATAATCTCTACCTTCAAGTATCTAGACTAGGGGTTGGCAATCTGTGGCATGCTGGCCTAGTCCAGCCTACAGCCTCAATCTATGAAGGATTCTGCGTTTCTGAAGAGTTATAAATAAATAAAGAAGAATATGTGGTGGGGACTATATGTGACTTATAGAGCCTAAAATATTTACTAAGTGAGCCTTTTCAGAAAAAGTTTGCTAACCTCTCCATGGACTGTTTAAATTCAACGTAATTATTAAGTTTTAATTTATTTTCTTGTCATCTGTTCTTCCTCCCCCCCCCCCCCCCCCCCCCCATTTTCCTGCCTTCTCTTGGACACATGTTATATTTTTTAGTATTTCATGTGTCTCCACTACTTTTTTAGTATTTTATTTATCTCCATTATAGGATTATTAGCTATACTATTTTTACTCTTTTATTGTTTTAGGGACTGTTCTAAGGTTTCCAATATGCTTTTATTTTAATTTTTTAAGTTTACTTATTTATTTTGAGAGAGAGAGAGAAAGCAAGCACAAGTGGGGAAGGGGCAGAGAGAGAATCCCAACTAGACTCTGTGCTGTCAGCATAGAGCCAACTGCAGGGCTCAATCTCATGAACTACGAAATCTGACCTAAGTGGAAATCAAGAGTCAGATGCTTAACCAACTGAGCCACCCAGGCAGCTTCCAATATGCCCTTAAAAATAGATAATTATAGTCTTCTAGTATTTAAAAAGAAAAAAAATTTTTTTTTTACATTTGCTTTTGAGAGAGAGAGGGCGCGAGTAGGGGAGGGGCAGAGAGAGAGACACACACACAGAATCTGAAGCAGGCTCCAGGCTCTGAGCTGTCAGCATAAAGCCCGACGTGGGGCTGGAACTCACGAACCATGAAATCATGACCTGAGCTGAAGTCGGACGCCTAATCAACTGAGCCACCCAGGTGCCCCACAGTCTTCTAATTATTTTATACAATTTC